TTTACTAAAGCAAGTTAGTGAACAGAAAAGGGCCAGTGAGGACTCTCCACCACACAGGAGAGACCCAGTGAAAGCAGAAAAACAGTAGGCTTTGTAGGCAACATCCAAGGTGCATCAGGGTGGATCATGAAACCACTTGGGTAGCAGCAGCTGACATCTCTTAGCTTGCAGTACTCCACTATGGCTGTAGATGTGTTCAACACTAGATGAGATTGTGTGTGATCCAGAGGGGCAGACAGAGTTTGGCCTTTTGGAAAATAAGTGCCCAAAGGCGTGTATTTTTCTGGACTGTCTACACATTATGCGCAAAAATGACACACATAATATAAAATAAATATATAAAGTGCACCAAACTTGACTCAGTCCATTCAACAATTCTAAATGGACAATTATGTAACTCATCAATTAATTATTTGAAAGGATAATTTGTCAATTAAATGCTGAAAAAAATAAACAATACATTAATGAGGCCAGAACTTTTTAAACTTGAACATACCTACACCCACAAGTCTTTATTTACCTGGAGTCTCCTCTCAAGAGTGGCTGAAGTAATATTACAACTTTGACAGAATACAAATTCTCTCTCTCTCTCTCTCTCTCTGGAAGCCCCACTCTAAGGGCGTTTGCAGTGTATTAGTGACTCATATATTGTACAACCACAGTCATAAAGTTTTCAATCAGTAGTTTTATTTCAGTATGTATTTTTCCAGTATCACAAAAAATATAATTTTATATGGTTAAAATCATCTAGCTTATGTGCACTTTTTAAAACACTGCCCAGCAAACATTCGGACGTTTAAGACAGTTGAACGGTCACAAGTGTAAAATAATATCACAGGAATTAGGAAAAAATAGCATAACACCTACTCTATTTTCCTTGCCCAGACTCAAACCTGGATCCTCCGGGGGCAGAGTCACCCGCTCTACCAGCTGAGCTATGACAACAACTACTGAATATCAGATTTTTTTATATAGCTCCCATCATTTTGGTCCGACAGGAAGCCAATGGACCAATGAGGTAGAGGGTAAAGTGCGGGCAAAACTAACCAATCAGAGGACAGAGAAGATCTACCACAGGCCACGCCTCCAGAGTGCCAAAACCCCTTAACAGCCGAGCGAGCGAAGTCAGAAACCGAGCGCGCAGAGAGGCTGCCGCGCACGCAGAGAGGCTGCCGCGCGCTCACGTTTTCCTCTGCTGTGTGCTCGATGGCAACGTGCGCACGCAGGTTTGTCACTTGTGCACATCCTTGTGCACTCACAGACACATTTTGCTCCCTCTCAGTGCACAAATGACCTCTCGCCATGTATATTTTCACTCGCAAGTCCCGTTCACACGTGCGATTTGGAGCCCGCGTGCACGGGTTTTGGCACGGGTCTAGCCCCATAGACCAGAATCTCCTCAGAGCTGCACGGAAGTCTTGCTCCATGGTCTCACTGAGCTCCTCCCACGCCTGGGTTTTTGCCTTGGCGACCACCCGAGCCACATTCCACATGGACCGCCAGTACCCGTCAGCTGCCTCTGGAGTCCCACAGGCCAAAAAGACCTGATAGGACTCTTTCTTCAGCTTGACAGCATCCCGAACCGCCGGTGTCCACTAAACATACAAAAATTGTTCACTGAAAGAGAAGGTAATTATGAGTTGTGTGAGGATGTGATAATATTTAGCATACACAACAAAAATAATCAGTAAATTATCATATAGATAGTAAAAACTTAAACCAAAACAGGAAATTGATGTTAACCTTTGACCTCATTTTCCACCTGTGAACGAGTGAAAGGTAGAGCTAATGGTAAAATGGATCGGGTTTTGTTGCCCACATTTCCACGGGTTCAGTCAGAAACGAATGAATCTTTGGAAGTGATCTCAGACCCACAAAAACCTACTGATCTGGATGAAGAGAGTCAACCCTCAACCGCCGCAGCAGTCCAGGGTTTTGCCGCAGGAAATGCTAACACTAACGTTAGCTAACCTTGCAACACTATGGATGGTTTTCCGTGTGGCTGTATGTGTTTATGATTTCATGGAAAAGTCAGCGATTGTTCATATGTTTATGACGTATATTAATGATTGTTTCAGGTGTTGTTGAGGTGTTGTGCACGCATGTGTATCTGCTAGTGTTGAAGGTGTTTTAGAGAACAATAGGTACGCATGACCACTTCCTTCATAGCACCCTCAATAAAAAGACTGGCTCCTTCATAGCACCTGCAGAAAAACATTTCAGGAGCCGCCACTGAACTAAATACACAAACACAGGAATGTTCTCCCTTGTATGACCCAATGGTGCTGATTAGGCCAAGTAAAGTGATCTGCTACAGCTGCTCCAACTCCAAGACCACTGGCAACTCAAAGAAAAACATATTAAACAATCATATAAACACCTACAGACTAAAACCGATAAGTAACTGAATGTGTGCACTTCATACAGCCACCTAAACAGTCAATCCATAGAAACAAAACACTCACATTTTCTAAATAAAAGAAACATTACCAGACTGCCATTCACTTGAGGTGTGACAGCAGGGCAGTTGACACAAGCATCTTACTGGAAATACTATATTTGTGTGGAATGGTTTAGAATTAAACAAAGCTCTTAAGGACTGACAGACGGTTCCATCTTTGCACGATTAACAGTCATCCTTCTGTGTTTGATGTGTTTCAGCGGCAGCCATCTGACTCAGCTCAGTTTCTCACTAGGCCAGAGTAACTGGAAAAAACCTGAACATTCACTAATATCACATTTTTAGTATATAATATAGAATTGTTAACATCTACATCTCCTGTCATTATAAAAATGTGTTTCTTAGCGCTGCACAAAATATCGTAAATATATCGTTATCGCGATATCTGCATACACAATATGCATATCGATTAGAACAGATAAATATCCCAATGAATGGTCAGTTCTAATGTTTGCTACACATAACACATTCTGTCAATCAAGTGGAAGCATGATGTTTTTCAACAAATCAAATAGAGCTCTTCAACCATTTGGCCAATTGGGTGGGTTCTCATAGGTCAGATGCCCGCCCCCGAGGCAGACGGCCCTTAATTTTGATGGTTAGCAAACACCTGAGTTAACTTTGTTCTGCTCTTTCCGCTGATCCTACTTTTCCCGGGATCCACTGATAGCCTTTTCTTGTTCATTTTTCTTCCCTTTCCTCACATCTTTGTCATGTTGTGAGGGTGGAGATGGTGGACCAAGTGTGGTGGAAGGTTCAGGAGGCAGAAGAGCAGGCACGGATAAGGTAAAAATGGGTTTAATAACCACGGGAGCGACAGGACAAAACGATACATGCACATACAACAATGATCCGACATAGAGACGGGAGGTATAAATACACTGGGGAAAATCAGGAACACATGGGCAGGCTAACAAGGAGCAGGTGAAACCAATAGGGACTAATGAGGCAGGAGAGGGACACAGTCAGGAAGGCAGGGGCAGAACAAGACAATCTTTTGCTTTTCTCATTTTTATGAATTTTTTACTTCTTTGTTTTTGATTAGTTTTGTTCCTGAGTTAAGTTTTTATTTATTGCAAGTAATATTGTCATCGCAATATTAATAATTGTTATTGAATATCGCAGGTTTTCCTAATATCAAGCAGCCCTAGTGTTTCTTATCAGAACCACCTTAAAACAGTCAGTTTGGTATAAAACCAAATCCTTCTGATTCATGTTCATCCTGATCTCACTTGTGTTGCTCAACCTTTTATTTTGGTCACAAACTGGGCTCTGTTAAGATACAGAAAGATTCAAAAACCAATTACATGGATTTTTTTCTACTAAGGCCTTCTGCAATGAAACCGTGTGATAATAACATTCACAGATCAGGGTTCATTTGAAAATGTAAAAATGATTAGCAAATAGCTGAAGCTTCTGGGGTTTTCTAGGAGCAAAGTCAAGTTTCTGTGTATTTTCATGTCTGTGGTGGACGCAAAGTCCAACAACCAGCATCTATTTATCCCAGAGGAGAGAGCAGCAGCATCTCTGCTCCTGAGGCTGCACCATGACGACCGCTGTCATGGCTGGGATCCGTCTTCCACCACATGAGGCTCACTTTGTTCCTCTCGTCCCTCTCCCCGGTCTCTGAATCACTCAGGTCAGTGCTCACTCCTGTTTTTAGTGTTCGTGTCAGCTGGGCTATCACATGCAGGATGAAAGGAAGGAACTTTTCGGCCCTGTTCTCCGAGTTTCTGCACAGATGGATTAGGTCACGTGTTCATCACGAACATATTATTCTCCTGATTATTTTAGCATCAAATGCACAGAAAACTTGAGACTTTTGTGTTTTATTGTCCCCCTCATTTCTCTGGAGAGTTTCCCTTTCAGCAGCCGCTCTGCAACACACTGGGCTTTGCCTCTGAGTCAACTTATAATTAATGTGATAACTCAGGCTCCCTCTTTGTCTTTATGGGTCTTTTCTTTGATACACACCCACGCCCAAAGTGAACTTCGATGACGTGCTTTGGTTAAAAAATGCAGGGCAGAAAGCTAAAGTAATCAAATTTCAACGTGATAGCTTATTTTAGGGTGAATTTTCAGCTCTTTTAAACAAGGCACCCCGAGCCTTCATCAGGCATTTAAATACGGAAGTCACAATAAAATGAATGCAGCTCCTTCAAATGTTGTTCCTGTTCACTCCTGCTGGCAGGTGCTGAAACCCCACTCAGAATCAACATAAAAATGCGTTTTCTGCCCCAATTTTTATTCAAAATAGCTTTTAAACTTCTGCATTAGCCTGGTGCTTTTAATAACAGTAATGGGATGATTAACTGCAGCAGTTTTGACACAAAACCCCCTCTGGGTCATGTTGAGGAGGTGTTTTAATTAAAATTAAGAAAATATGCAGATTAAAGGAGCTTATTTGTGAAATTATAAGCAGTTTGAAACGTCTATGTGATTAAAAATAACCCGACCGCCCATCATAGAGAATGCTGATTGAGTTGTTAAAAATCACCCAATCGTGCGCCTCAGACGCACAGAAAGGCGTGCCTCGGATTGCGCTTAAATTCAAGTCGTTTGTTGTGAGGAGTAGAGTTCGCGTTGAATACTCACCGTGCTAGAAGCGAACGCGTGTTGAATCCATGCATATGTGATTTTTTTGGCGCGTGAACATAACGACGTTGCGCAGATTAGACTCGCTGTTGCACCTGGAGGGCGGAATTGTGCCACATTGGAGCGTTCCGGTGCGCACCAGAGGACGGTCCAAGCAGCAGGACATCTTCAACTGAAATTTGAGTTTTGCATCAAAATATTTTAGGTTAGACATCTTATATGCAAGTTACCCTGATCAATTTTAAAACCAAACGGTGCGTATTTGTTGACAGGAGTCGCAGACGCGCGCACTGATCCTCCTTTTTTATGGCTGACGCCAGAGACTTTCGGCCGACTGGACCCAGATTTAGGATTTAAAAGTTCCGTTATTTTTTTTTTATAATTATTTTTTTTTGTCCTGCATTCCTTTCCGGACTCCGTAGCGATGATGACTGAGAACAATGAGATGGAGGGCGACCCGCAGCTCCAGCGCTCCGCGAGCAACATCCCCATCCAGCCGGTCACCTCCAAGGCAAGTGGCTCAGTTCGGGCTTTAGTCCTGCAGCTGTTTGGATCAGAATCAGAACCTGGATCGAGTTTATCTGTAAAGTTTACAAAGTTGCAGATAAAAAAATCAAAGAAAATAAGGAGTTTCCCTCAGTTTCTTTTGAATTATTTGGTCATTTTAGCCTCTCTAACACAGATTTTTTTTCCTGAGCTGTAATTGAAGGATTATTTCACAAATGGATCCTGATGGTTGCGTCATTAGGTGTAGCCTGTAACGCAGGAGCTGATGTCACGCTGACTCTATACATGTCGTCCCCCCCCCCCCCCCCTACACACACACAGATGTTCAGAAACATATTAAAGTTTGTTTTAGCTGCCAAAGAGCCTTGAAGGATATATGCAAATTTAATTACGCTTCGAATTGTGAGGTTTTCACTGACGAATCTTGTGATTCTGATAAGAGGTCTAGACAGAATTAAGCTAAAGGAAAAAAAAACTAAAGAAAAAGATTAAGAACAGGTGAGAAAGCCCCACCCCCTTTAGATCAGGTAGACATCATTCAGAGTTTAAAGGGGTCACAGGCAGTTGCACTTTGCATGACTGAACTGTTTCTGTATCTTATGTCTTTTTTTACACACTAGCACTATTTACATATATTTAACATGGCAGTTTAAACATTTTCCATTGTTTTATTACCAAACTTGATGTGTTATTACAAAACCACAACTGTTGAAACCCTAACAGGTAGGCGGTGAGGTCTTCTTCCACCTGCTGCATCTCTCACGGCTGTTGGTTTGGTCTCAAATCCTCTCAATGCAGAGAGTTTACACTCAGTCTTCAGCAGACCAATAGAAACACCGTAAGATATTTTCTATCAAAACAGGAAGTGAAGGATCTTTTTTAATTGCCACTCTGACACAAAACACTGTAGAAACATTTCATTATATTTATTTTATTTTGTAACATGCACATCTCCTGTCTCATCAACAAATGAGAATATGAACCCTGAACACTTTTATGTCCACCTCTCAGGTCACTTCACTTCAGTGCACTACCAACACTATCTATAGTGGGGACGGTGTGCTGCTGACCTCTACTCAGCACATTGTGGATCGGTGGGCAGAATTCTTCGAAGACCTCCTCAATCCCACCGACACGTCTTCCAGTGAGGAAGCAGAGTCTGGGGACTTTGGGTTGGCCTCTCAAATCTCTGGTGCTGAGGTCACTGAGGTGGTTAAAAAGCTCCTCTGTGGCAAGGCTCCAAGGGTGGATGAGATCCACCCGGAGTTCCTTAAGGCTCTGGATGCGGTGGGGCTGTGTTGGCTGACGCGGCTCTGCAATATCGCGTGGACATCGGGGGCCGTCCCACTGGACTAGCAGACCGGGGTGGTGGTTCCCTTATTTAAAAAGGGGGACCGCAGGGTGTGTTCCAACTACCGGGGGATCACACTCCTGAGCCTTCCTTCTATTCAGGGGTTCTGGAGAGGAGGGTCCGTCGGATTGTTGAACCTCAGATTCAGGAGGAGCAATGTGGTTTTCGTCCTGACCGTGGATTACTGGACCAGCTAAATACCCTTAGGGGGATCTTGGAGGGTGCGTGGGAATTTGCCCAACCAGTCTACATGTGTTTTGTGGATTTGGAGAAGGCGTTTGACCGCGTCTCTCAGGGGGCCCTAGTGGGGGGTACTCCGGGAGTATGGGGTACCAGGCCCTCTGATACGGGCTGTTAGGTCCCTGTAGGACCGGTGTCAGAGCTTGGTCCGCATTGCCGGCAGTGAGTCGGGCTCGTTCCCAGTGAGAGTTGGACTCCGCCAAGGCTGCTCATTGCCACAGATTCTGTTCATAACCTTTATGGACAGGATTTCTAGGTGCAGCCAAGGTGTGGAGGGCATCCGTTTTGGTGGCCTGAGGATCAGGTCTCTGCTTTCTGCAGATGATGTGGTCCTGTTAGCTTCATCAGAACGTGATCTTCAGCTTTCACTGGAGCGGTTCGCAGCCGAGTGTGAAGCAGCTGGGATGAGAATCATCTCCTCTAAATCTGAGACCATGGTCTTGATTCGGTAAAGGGTAGAATGCCTTCTCCGGGTCAGGGATGAGGGCCTGCCCCAAGTGGAGGAGTTTAAGTATGTGAGGGAAAACTGGAGTGTGAGGTCGATAGGCGGATTGGTGTTGCATCTGCAGTGATACAGGTGTTGTACCGGTCTGTCGTGGTGAAGAGAGAGCTGAGTTAGAAGGCGAAGCTCTTGATTTACCGGTCGATCTACGTTCCTACCCTCACCTATGGTCATGAGCTTTGGGTAGTGACCGAAAGAACGAGATCGCGGAGACAAGCGGCTGAAATGAGTTTTCTTCGAAGAGCGGCTGGGCTCTCCCTTAGAGATAGGGTGAGAAGCTCGGTCATCAGGGAGGGGCTCGGAGTAGACCCGCTGCTCCTCCACATCGAGAGGAGCCAGTTGAGGTGGCTCGGGCGTCTGGTCAGGATGCCTCCTGGACGCCTCCCTGGTGAGGTTTTCTGGGCACATCCAACCGGGAGGAGACCTAAAGGTAGACCCAGGACACGGTAGAGGGACTATGTCTCTCACCTGGCCAGGGAACGCCTTGGGATTCCCCCGGAGGAGCTGGCCCAAGTGGCTGGGGAGAGAGAAGTCTGGGCCTCTCGCCTTAGGCTACTGCCCCCGCGACCCGACTCCAGATAAGCGGGTGAAAATGGATGGATGGATGTTTAGTGGCAGTTTATAATTTCTCGCTTTGAAGAAAATTTGAGCTGTTCTAAACTTAAAAGTCTCTTTCTGTTGTATTTCTCTTATCCTATGGCACCATCTAATGGCTGACAAGCATTTCACACAAAACATCTGTTGATCCGTTTGTTTAAGATGGCGACTTCACGTTTCTGTTTATAAATGTGCCTCTGTAGCCGACAAACAGCTAAAACACATTATTTTACGAGTATTATTCTCATGTCATGTTGTGTTCTCATTTATTTATATTTTAGAGACTTTCTTGTCTGTTAAAAGTTCATCAACTCTGCATCAGTCGAGGTATTCCTTAAATTTGAAGCAAGTAAGCGGTAATCTAACGCTATTGATTAGTTCTGGTGGGTGCTCAGTTTCATATTGCATGGAGCTCTGCGGGGCAGGGGGCGTGCTTAGCAAAAAAAAAAAAGATGTATAGCTTATATTATATCACAGTACATGAGACAATCCCTTTTACGGATTTCTGAAAAATCATGCATAATGTCTGAAAGGGTTAAACTCCAGAAAGCTACTTTAACTAACATAAAAATACCTGCGTGACCATCAAAGTTCTTTTCATTTCCACACACCAGCTGCTGGTCTGAAGGTTACGGTTTAGTCTGTTTCGCTATCTTTGTGACCTTAACGAGCAAGTCACCCCAAATCACTTTTTTTTGCTGATAAACTATATAAATGAGTGTCTAATCGCACTGTAGAAAGGTGTAGTCAATAATTTGGCACTTTAGTGCATCTTAGCCTAGAACTGAACTGAATTTAAGTCTGCCATTGCTATTGGCAAACACGTTAGCTGGTGCCATATGACGTCACAATGTCGCTTTGAGCCTGTGTTTCTGTGGTTGTATTTGTTAGCGACCCCGCCCTCTTGGTCTGCCAGGCAACGCTTCCCATGTGGTGCATTTTTTCAAACAGGAAGTGGGAGTGAAGTAAGACTCTGGTAGGGGGTGACTTGCTCAGAGCCACTGGTGGTTGCCATGGTGACCTTAATGAGTCACTGGCAGCAGCTTTAATGTTTCTTTTGATCTAAATTATTTTTCCTTCTCTGATACAGTTCATGCATCAGAACCTGAACCCTTTGTCTGACCGTAGATCATCCCAAAGCTGATGCTGGAAGTAGAATTTGTAAAACCATTCTCATTATGATCATTTTAATGGGATTTTGTGACATTTCGTTTTTGCACATTGCATCTTTTTCTCATTTATGATCCTGCCAGCTTTTATTGTGCAGCAAAATGGCATCTGCAGAAGCAGATCCCTTTACTGGAGCTGCCTCCCTGCAGCGTGAATTATTCCAGAGTGTCCTTGTGATTCCATTTGATTTGTTGACTCGACTGTATAAACAAAGTCTTCCAGTGCAGGAGCTGTGGGAGCAGCACGCTGAATTCATCAGTCTGCTTCATCCACAACTTCCCTTGAGTGAATCCTTCGTCTCAACCCCGTGCCCCCTCTTGCTGCCCACGCACCAACAAGGCACGCTGCATGTTTGGAACAAAGTGACACTTCTGCGCTGCACAGCCAGGTGCTTCACGGGCCAACTGCCTCTGTGCTGCAACTAAATATTTGATGTCCTCTCTGAAAAAAGTCAAGTCGACATTGCTGCCACCAGCGTTTCTTCTGTGGTGATCCGTTCTGTGTCGGCTGGAGGCAGGGCTGATCTGTATTCCCATGGACCTGCTTTGCTCTGGTTTAACTACGTGACATCCTGGAACTCATCCATCCGCTTCAATCGTAATATGCCTCGCTTGAATTAAGCACTTTCTTTTACTGTAGCCCCCCAAAAATAAAAAAGAGACTGTTAAAATGAACACTGTATGATCAGGTGTGGTCCCAGGAGACTGAAACTCCATGTCTATTTTAAATACTTAATTAGGTCCGTTGCTAAAGGGGTTAATCTTGGAGGACTCTAATCAGATGCAGATGATGTTTTAATTTGATTGGCAGCGAGAGTCTGTGACTCACTTTGGTAACAGATGCTGTCAGAAATCTACCAGGGGTACATAGATGGGTACATATGCAAAAAATAAAGTACAAATCAAGGACGGGTCAAAGGCTTGTGAAAGACGAAATGAAACCTTCTCAGCTCTGGTGCTCTTTGGGGATGTTTCAGAACATTTGATGCTTTTTGTTAGATGACACAAGTAAGATTTATGAGCCCAAACAAGAAAACCAGCTTTACATTTCTGCTTGATCAGTCCACTGAATGATGACAAGACCACAAATTATCCGTGCGTCCACTTTGGAGTGCTTGTCCCAATCTTTTTAACACACACACACA